TCATATTTTATGTCACAAGAAAAGTGTCCTACGGTTTTAAGAACTTTTTTTAATGATCCTATATCCATGGCATGGTTATATTTTGTACAAAGTCAGTTGAAGGTGGTATGTGATACAATAAAAAGGATAGAAGGTGATCATATATCAGCAGGCGAGGTGTATGAAGAAATTGAAGTGTTATATGGTAAAATAAAAAATCGGAAAAATCAACATTTTTTTACATCAGAGCTAGCTCAACTTATTTCAGATCTTGATAAGAACAAACTGTACAGTGAAAAAAAGTTTATTGAGATAACTGATGAGTTTTATAACACGTTTTTATCGTACGTGGAAAAATGGGGATATCACTTTGAACCACTAAAAGTTTTTCGTTGGATTCAAGTACTAGATTTTCCAATTTGGAGTGACATTCAAGAAAGTTTTAAATATATTATTAAGAATAATCCAACATTGAAATTCGATGAAGATGAACTTTTTGACGAATTTAATCATGTGATAAATGTAATGAAGGTTAAAATGCAAAACTGGAAAAATGGTTCAAAAACCGAAGATAGGTGGTGTGAAATATTTAAAATTCTAGAAAAAAATAACATTTTAATTAAATATTTTAGGGTTATTTTAGAGTATTCGATGGCTATTCCAGGAACTAACGCGTCGGTAGAAAGAGTATTTTCAATTACAAATGTTTTATGGACAGATGAGAAAAATCAATTTCTTGTGGACACAATTAGATCGATAATAATCGTAAAACAACATTTTAAAAATGTTTCATGTACAGAATTTCATACATTTCTTTTAGAACATCCACAATTATTAAAACTAATTACTTTTTCAGAAAAATATGAAAAATCATATAGTGAAGACATCTCTAAACAGTCGTCATCAAAATGAATTAATAAGTTTTTTTAAAAAAGTAAAGTACATGAATTTAATCTTATACAGTGTTATTAAAAATTATATTTAAATTATAAAATATATATAGATATATATATTAAGTATTAATAAAAAAAAATAAATTATTATTAATTTTGTCCTGTAATTTTTTTTTTAAATATGGTCCCCCTATATTATGCACATTCTCGTAATAGTAATTTAAATACTAAAATATACTAATAATTAATATTTTTGTATTCAATTTTGTCTTGTAGGTATTAATATTCTAAATGAAATTCATGATTAAAAAAAATGTACTTAGTTTAAAATCGCCCATTATCTTGGTTGGTGTTAATATTAATACACTGTCTACATACTATGGCTTGCAAGCATCCAACATTTTACTAGCATAGTAAATGTACAAATGTACAAATGTATTAATGGATGTATTATGTATGATTAGTTTTAAAAAAATATATATGCTTAAGTTATTATTTATAACTGTAAGTATAAATCTATGAAAAACTGAAAAATATAGATAAATTATTAGATTTTTTAAGTGTAAACTAAAGAATAGTTTAGATATCTGAACTCAACTAGTCATTCTTTGGTTCTGAAAAAGATTTGCTTATTTTGTAATAATATTTATTTACTTAATCTATTTGCCTAGGGTTGAGTTGACACCTATGGCCAGTATTTCTGCTATGCCCACTAATGTTTATTTTATTCATAAATAATTTAATTTTTGTAATTTGATTTGCCATATAGTTAATTGTTGTATTCATCTACATTAATTAATTCACTAGGAAATATTAATGATTAGAAAAAATCAGATAGTGTAGGGTGGTTAAAACAGGAAAATGCAATTTTAAATATCAATAGAAAAAAAAAATATAAGTTAAGTTATAAAATAAGTTTGCCAAAAATATCAATTTTACCCTAGTTAAAAATACTAGTAAAAAATACTCAAAATACTAAACATGAACCAGTGGCGGAACTATACAATATACAAAGGTGGGATTTTCCACGGGCCTCGTCGGTGAAAGGGCCTCGCCGAATATTTGTATAAAGATAATATTGTTTTTTCACTGAATGGTTATTATTGAAATTATAAAATTTATAGTATAAAAATAAAATATATTATTTAAGTATACCCTTTATTTTATAACTTACTGTAAATTATATAACAAAATAAAAATAGAAAATACAATATTAATACCTATATAAATATAATAATACATTAATATTTGTAATTTAATATTTCGATAATAGAATATGTACTAGTACTAGTACTTGTGTCCGGTTCAAATGTTATTTATAAAATATATTTCCGATGACCGCGTCGATGCTNTGTTTTTCCGTTTGCTACATTGATTATTATTTATTACTTCACAGTATAACCATTTTTCTTTGTATTAAATTTGTTCACTATTGGAGAACGCTAATTTGACAACATTTAGGTAAGTAGTATTATAGTTTTTTTTTATTAATATTTTATATACCTAATATGATTAATACCTATTAAATATTTTAACTTACAGTTTTCAAACTTGTACGTTATTGTAATTTACTCTATATTATGTTTAGCTTTTCGTTAATATTATAAAATTAAAAGATATAAATATGCATAATTGATAAATGCACTCCCCATCGTCCAAGTTATTTCACATATTATGCATAATATGAACTAATTAAAATATTACCGTTTATTTTTGATATCGTTGTTTTAATCGTCATTGGCGTTTATATTTGTCTTATTAAGTATTATTCAAATTGTGTTTTAATCATGATATAATAATTTAATATTAATTATATAAGAATAAAAATCAAGTTATACTTATAAATTTAATTTATAGGTATACCTAATATAACTTTAATAATAATGTGTTATATTTTATTAGACATAAATGTGTCATCTACACCGTGCGTAGGCTGGCTAGCATAACACAATAATAAATACAAATAAATATAATAAAATAATATTTAATGTTTTATTACTAAATTACTTTATACCTATATACTTTTTTTATATTTAATTTTTATTATCATTTACAATTTAGTAATAAATTATTATTATTTGTATTACCTATTGTTTTAGTGTATAATTTGGTTTTGGATCGTACCTAATCTTCACTAATAATACCTAAAAATGAATCCAGTTAAAAAAAGATTTGACAGTAGAGCGAGTAAGAGGAAACATAAAGCAGAGGAAGATCGTAAGACTAAATTATTACCATCGGTTTCAAAATTGTTTAAGAAAGTATCCGTAGAAATTTCTAATTCAAATCCTAATGTAAACGAAAATTTACAAGAAACACATCCATGTCNAAAAGATTTGAGAGTGGAGCGAGTAAGAGGAAACATAAAGCAGAGGAAGATCGTAAGACTAAATTATTACCATCAGTTTCAAAATTTTTTAAGAAAGTATCTGTAGAAATTTCTAATTCAAATCCTAATGTAAACGAAAATTTACAAGAAACACATCCATGTCTTTCGCTGTCCTCTCCAGTCAAAATCGAACATATTTCTCAAAATGTAACACCTAATGCTAATCTTTCGAGTACACTGGTTAACATTATTTCTCAAGAAATACCCAATACCTCTATTTTATCACTAGCGAATAATGTTCCAAATATTGATATATTTACTAAGCTTCTAACACTTCCCAATCCCACTGATATCGGTCATTTTAATTATGATAATAAATTATCTGACTCGCAGAAAAAGTCTATTGCTACTCGTGGACCATGCCAACCTAAAGGAACATTTTATAGACATTCGGATGTATCAAAAAATAAAAATTCACGAACAACATTTCACGAAAAATATTATTATTCTGTTGAGTCAATTACAGGAGCAAAAACTAATAGATTATGGCTATGTTATTCAATAATTCGTCAAGTTGCATATTGCCAACCATGTTCTCTGTTTGGTAATAGAATTAAAATTAAACAAACTACGTGGCTTGATAGTTATGATGACTGGGATCATATAAGAATTGCAATTAATCGTCATGAAAATTCTACATTTCATCTTGAGCCATGTAAAGCTTATAATGTGTATTCGAGGAATTTAGGTATAGACAATCAAACAAAGAAGCAAATAGATTCTGAAGCTGAATATTGGACAGCAATTTTAACGAGAGTAATAGATGTATCTATAACACTTGGTTGTCAAAATTTGTCCTTTAGAGGTCATAGGGAAGATTCCAATACAAATAATCCTGGAAATTTTATGGCTATAATTAAACTTTTGGCTAAATATGATCCCATATTAGCAACACTTTTAGAAAAACCAAAAAGAAGCGTAAAGTATCTCAGTCATAAAATCAAGATCAAATTATTTCATTAATAGAAATTGAAATAAAGAAAAATATATTAGCTGCTGTTACTGCTGCACCATTTTTTTCGTTAATTCTTGATACAACACAAGACATTAGTAAGATTGACCAAGNAAAGAATCTCAATCATAAAATTCAAGATCAAATTATTTCATTAACAGAAATCGAAATAAAGAAATATATATTAGCTGATGTTACTGCTACACCATTTTTTTCGTTAATTCTTGATACAAAATAAGACATTAGTGAGATTGACCAAGTCTCCACAATATATCGATACGTTCATATAGACAAAAACGAATTAGGAATTCCTATAAGCATTGAAATAAGAGAGGACTTTATTGGATTTACTGAAGCCGAAGGAGGTACAGGCAGAGCAATGGAAGAACAGTCTATGAAGCAATTTAAAAAAAATGGACTTGATATCATAAAATTTAGAGAAATTGGTTTAGACGGCGCAGCAAGTATGAGCGGAAAATACAATGGTTTAAAGGCTTTTCTTCGGCAAAGACAGAAAAAAGCCAAATACGTCCATTGTGCATCGCATAATTTAAATTTAATAGTAAATGACTGTGAGATAATAATAATAATAAAGAGATAATAAAGATATTAAGGAAATTCGGAAATTTTGTGGCATGCTAGAAACTCTTACATACATTTTTTGGTAATAGTATACTTCGATGGGCAAAATTAAAAAAGAAAGTTGTGAAATTACCAGATCTCTTAAGAGATTGTGTCCTACTCGATGGTCTTCTAGAATCGATTGTTTAGTATCACTGAATCATATGTACCCAGATATAATGAAGGTACTAAATAACATTATATTAACTGGCCGAACCAAATATGAACAAAATGACGCTACCACACTTAAAACATATTTTGAGAGTTATGAAACAGTATTTTGATATTATTGATGTATAAAATATTATCAAAAATAAATATTGCATCAAAAATATTGCAGTCTCCTGGAGCTGATATTGGAAAGGCTGCAGATTTGATAACATTATATTAACTGGCCGAACCAAATATGAACAAAATGACGTTATTACACTTAAAACATATTTTGAGAGTTATGAAACAGTTATTTTGATATTATTGATGTATAAGATATTATCAAAAATAAATATTGCATCAAAAATATTGCAGTCTCCTGGAGCTGATATTGGAAAGGCTGCAGATTTGATAAAAAGTACATTGCAAATTATAGAAGCAATTCGTATAAATATTGATATTTTCATTGAAGAAGCTAACGATAAAGCATTGAAATGGAATGTGACACCTCAATTTTCAAATAAACGAACAATGAAAGTAAAACGTTTTTATGATGAGCTTTGTCAAGATCAACGACTTTCACAAGGATGTCAATATTTTAAAACACAGGTGTTTTATAGGTGTATTGATACTGTTGTTACATAATTGCGAACACGATATATTGGTCTTAATGAAATAAATGATTTATTCAGCTGTATTTTACAACGTGGAGTAATATCTGATGATGACATTATTATTGGTGCAAAAAAATTGGGGATGAATTTGAAGATTTTAATCCAGCTGAGCTGGCAAGGCAAATTGAATCATTTAATATTCTGTTTTCTTCTGAGATTGAATCCTGTAATAGTGTTTTTGATATGACTAAATTATTGGTTATTGAGAATTATAATCTAATTACTAGTTTTCCAGATCTATTAACTACATTTTATTTATTTCTTACATTATTCCAGTAACAGTAGCCAGTACAGAAAGGTCATTATCAAAGCTCAAATTAGTTAAAAGCTACCTTAGAAATACTATGTCTCAAACACGTTTGAGTGGTCTTGCAATGATATCAATTGAATATGAACGCCCCAAAAGTTGAACATGTCAGCATTGATAAGGTCATTTGAACAAGATCGTAGCAAAAAAAATTATTTTCATTTTAATTTGTAAATTATATTATATTTATTGAATTTTAGTTAGACACAGTTTCAACAATTGATACGCTGTCCCGAAACGTAGCGGATCGAAAATATAGATATCGAATAGATAATAGATAATAGATAATTAAAGAGTGTATTATTCATGATCACACTAAGCAGTTTGTTTGCCGACCTCAAAAATTTTTATCAGATTATATTTATAGCTGACTTATCATTTAGTAATATTCAGTTCTGAATTTTTTTCCGCATTATCAGTAATTTACAGGCCAGCCCGTGGGTAGCCATAATAAAATTGTGTATTTCTCATATATTCATATTATTCACACAAGGTTTTTCATCATCCGGCTACCACTATTTTTAGTGCGATTTACGAATATTCTGTTCACGTACACATTAAAAAAAAAAATAACAATAAGCAATATTTTCACATTTAAAGAATATTCTCACTATACCTATAACGACTGTATAATTCGGCAACTTCCTGCTGAGGACTCTATATATAGACACACTGCCTTTAGCCGGGTTTAGAGGTTCATGAAGTCTCGGGTCTCGCATTTTTACTCCGCACACTTTTAATAAATTTTTCGGTCGATGATTATTTGATTCATTTTCTACAGAGTTTCAATCAAAAATACGTAAGGTAAAAGACAATCCAAATTTATTAATTATTGATTCTCTATTTTGGTAGTATAAAAATGTTTATTTATTTATTTGTCGTTTTTTTTTTTTTTTTTAACTGAGAAAACCATTTGTGCCAGAAATCTTAATCCGACTTTTAATCTATTCACATCTTTAGATTAACAACGTGGGACATTATTAGAGAGATAATTTTTATTTTTTTATTTTGTTTTGTTTTCGTACTTTTCGCTTTCTAGATACTTCGTCCGTCTATTCTAATACAAGTTTTTTTACGAGTGGCAATAACTAATTTTACATTCTCTGTTTCATCTATTATTTTTACTTCGTTCAAAACTTTTTTTTGAAAATCATAAAAAATCTTGTGTGGAACCTCATTTGTCCGAAAACATTATCATTTCATCCTCGAATAGTAAAGTAACAATTAATATTAATGGTAATGAAACATTTTAGAGTTACTTGTTTCCTACATCGTGAAACTAATATTTAAAAAAATTAGAAATAACTTGCCTGAAATGAATTGCCTTGTGTATTAATNATTGTTAAAAGGGAACATAGTATTTTTTTTCTTTTGCTGTATTTGAAGTTGTAACTTATTTCAAACATACTTGGTAATTATGATTGTTCTCAAATGACTGATTCAAATGTTATTCATTGCAAAGTGTATTAATTTTGCTGTTAAGGTATGGGTATATAATATCTAATATAAGTATTAAAATAACAAATCAATACATGTAAATATAACATTAAATAAATTAAAAATAATTATTATATAAATTTTACTAAGTAGGTGCCCTTATACATTTTTATTCTATGGACAACAATTGGGTTTTTGTAAATAAATATGCTATTGGTTATCTCTGTCTTGTGGTGGGCATCAAGGTCTTTAGTTTTAAAATATAAAACATATTAAAAAATACTCAAAATACTAAACATGAACCATATTCGAGATAATGAACTTATCAAAATTTATTAATTATTGTTATTAGATACTGATACCGATTTAATTATATCATTTTTATTTTTATCATTCACCTTAAAAATGTACAATTCATGGTGATTGCTAAAAAGAAAATAACACCATATTTTTAGAAATGATTTTATTACCTTTACTTACATTATCTTTCTTCAAAATTTTTAATGTTAAGATTTGAGAATAATCTATCAAAAATAAAATGCCGAATTATATGTATCTACCTCATTATTATAACTATTTACTATTGTTAACAGTTGACACAAAACATTTTTTTTTTCTTAATGGTATGATGGAAAAAAATGAATTACTCCCATAGCCCCTTCTTCTTATATTTAAGTTATCAGAACACTCACTTTAGAGAGAATGGGGTTGGTACTGATATATTAAAAAAATATGGTAGTTTCAGTAACTAAAAGTAATTTGAATAAATATTATGTTTATAATGAATAGTTATTTGAAATTCTTCATGAAACCCGCGTGCCTGTAGGCCATGGAGGTAGAAACCATGTTGAGTATGAATTGAGTCTAATATATAAATGTGTTTATGTGTTCATTAGGCTCATAAGGTACCCCCAGTTAAAATTTCTCTAAAGGCATGAGACAGGAAAATTGTCTTTGTTTGGGTGGCCACAGCGAATACATTTTATTAATAATTAAACAATTCAATAGAAAATAGTTATTAAAACTATTAGTAGGCAAATAATATTTGAATGTAGTTGTAGCGAGGGAGCTGTTGGTTTTATGAGGATGTTTTTTATTAGTCTATGGACACATTTTTCTAGTGAACTTGCTCCGATTTTTACGTGTAGCACTTTTTCTGAAAGTTCAAGTTGTCTAGAGGGTGCTTTAGAAAGGTATGCTTATAATCAGGGATGGGCAAATCACAGTATATAGTGTAACTGGATATTAGAAAAAGGATTACTCAAATTTGGGTAACTGATAACACGTTGCAGTTGTATACATTACCGAGTAACTAGATAGTGCCCGGTGGAAACATCGGATTGTACAGTGTTAACGTTTATCTGATATGACAATATACCTATCAAATAACGATTTTGGTTTCATACGGTATGACTGGCTTATAACCGGTTGATGTGGCACCTATTGGTCAAAGTGGGGAAGAGAGTACCGTAGTATTGATTGTGTACTTCGCACGCGTCACTGCGATCACCGTTCATTGTTTTTAGTCGCACTCTGCAGTCTCTAAACTCGTTGATCGTAAGTATTTTAGGTTATGCTATTAGTTTGTCACCAGTGGTAATTTTTAATTTTAATATTTATATATATATATATATTTGTATTGTAAGTGGTTAATATATATTTATTTATTACATTTCATGTACAGCATACGAATATAATCGCTATCACGGGTATCAACAGTATATGATTATCTGGTTTCCATTGTCGCTGCTGTTATTGCTCGTCAAATTCCGGTAATTGGTTTTTTTTTTTTTGATTTTTTGTTACGATTATTATATAATATAACAATCTATTTTCTATACTTGCATCCACGCATAGATTTATATATTTATATTTACGGATTCATAAATATTGGGTAATTATTTTATCTATTTCAGTGGTTTATAAATCCGAGCTTGCATAAATAGTGGCGTTTATATTCCATATTTGTTCCGTAGTATTGATGATTGATGAATATATGATATCTATAGGCATACCCGTAATATCACTGATTAGTTAGTCGTCTATATTCTATGTTTGTGGGGTACCACATACAAGTCGGCTTACCAAGTTCTTAATTCAAGCACACCAAAATTAATAGCTCTTTTGTTTTGATGATTATCTCAAAATATGCTACGATGATAATACAACAAATAATATAATTTCATCGATATTTTTTACCAAGTTTGTATTAAATTTTTGAATTCAATAAGGAAATTCCTTACATTATTAAATATTATAATAATATGTTATGTTTATGTGCGTATTATGTATACATCCAACGCCCCCATAAAAATGTCTTAGGTGCACTTGTTAATAGACGTATAAGTATAAAATAATTAAGTGAAAACATATTATTTTAAATGTGTTACTATTACATAAGAATTGAATATTAATTTGATATTACTTTTTATTATCTTTTATCATATTATTCTCTACAATTTTTTTAACTTTGGACTTTATCATTTTTATCATCATTGATTTTGTTTAAATTGTTACAATTGAAGGAATAACTTTTGATTGCTATTTTGTGTACATTATAATTTGTTTGATAATAATAACTCTTAGGACCGGTATTATTTATTTTTAGTTATTATACTTTTTTTCAATTGTTGTCAAGAATCAACACCATGTATTGTACGGCTACAATTGCACAATTCACTTTTAATTTCTGGTTTTAAATAATATTAAATGTTTATTTGACTAAAGAATCCATCAAAACAAACTTCCCGGAACGATTCAAATTTATTATTTGTACACTGTTCTATTATTTAAACAAGAATTATAAGTTATATTAGGTACTTATTATTTAAATGTATCTATTTTATTACATAACAATGTTTATTATTTATATCAAATGGTTCTATTCAATATTTGTTTTGCCTTCAGATATTATGCTAAGGTAAAATAATAAAATAAAATAACCATTGTTGTGTTTTAAAAATTACAAAATTCAACAATTATAGATATTTTAATTTATTTAAATTAATCACATGTTTTAACAACAGCATATTTTTAATTCAGTGGAATTTATGTTAATATAACAAAACTAATTGTTACTTACAGATTTCAATAACCACAGACTTAAAAATATACAAATAAAATTGTTAAACCAATCAATTATTTTTTTTATAATTTGATAATGTTGTTTGTAAATCTAGAGATTAACAATAACTTAATTTTAAAATTAACAATGTGGCATAAAGGCCTTATGTTAGCAGTAATTTTTGAAAATTGAATTGCTATTTTGGTTAATATTACACAGGTTTTTTTTTCTGTGTTACGTGTCCTACCTTCCTAATCTTTCTCACCAATAACAGTGGTGCACACATCAGTAGTATCTGTTCTTTTTTTAAACTTACAACTATCACATATTGTTGAAAAAACCAAAACAACAAACTTGTATAACTATAATTATTTGTTAAGGGGAGGGGTTAACCCCCGAGCAAAGTAATTTAAAAAAATTACTACAGTATTAATTTCTTTTTTCAACTACAATTCACTCTAAATACAAATAATACATGATCAACCCTCCCCCCCTAATAATCTGTTCTTATACCCCTGGTTATTTCTATAAAAATCCAACAATATGCCTATATACATAAGTAGTCGTAGTATGTGGGTATATACCAATGTCTTTTAAGGAAATTAATTAATAGAAGACTCATCTTTTTTTTTTTAGACATGAACAATATCACAATCGTAAAAATCATGTTGAATATACCAATTGTCTTCATAGTGATATGCACAATGATTCAATATAGCGAGCAAACGATTTCTGAAAAAGTGTACTGGCCTGATAATACCTTTTGCAAATTCAACGAAGAATATATTTATCCAAAATTCGCAAATCTTTGCAAAGACCATGTTAATATACGTAAGCATGCTTTCCTTTCAGTATAATCCAACCATGAGTAATTTATTTTATTTTTTGTTTTAGCACAAGACCGTCGAAGTAGCCGTCTTAGGGAATATTATTCGTATTTGAACAGACTCTGCTGTAGAAGGCTGTGCTCTGAAACATATCTGTTGACCTTTTGCGATAATATATTTCCTAAAGTATTTTAATATTTTATATAAGTTAACAGTTTAACAGTTTAGCTTATTTATGATTTTACAATAAAAATATTTTATAAAGCCTTTTATTTACTCAAAACATTTTTATGTGTGGAATATATAGATTATAGATATTTTCTAAATTATAGTTCTCAGCTTTCTGGAAGTTAACATTTAAATGCTAATATTTAATAGGCATTCGTGTTATATTTACTGCTTTTTTATATCTCATTACTCTCATTTTTTTGGTGATAGGTGGGTGAGTGATGCTAATGGTGGGAAATATATATGTGTAGTATGAGTAGTATTTGCTATAACTATAACAAATATAACTACAAGTAATGTAATATATTACATTCAAAGAAGACCAATACCATACAGTATTGCCTTGTTTGCCTGAGTATTTTTAAACTTCTTCTATTGCTCAATATCGTTTAGTGATTAATTGTTTGAATGTCCAGTATTTCAATGACAAATATTGCATACTATAAATGAAATACTATACATAATATTATAATCAACCTCATTCGCCTCTCCAAAAAAACAACTAAATGCATAAATATTTTTTTATTTTAAAAAAAAGACACTAAAATCTACTAAAATATGTATTTTTTTTTTTATATAATTAAAAACGTTTAAGGTTTTATGAAAATAAATATACTATAGATATTAGGTATCTTATAATGAGTTAAACAAAATCGATTGGCTAAAAATATACAGTTCTAGTTATTACAAGCATTTAATGTTGTATAATTTTTTTTTTTTTTTTTAAATACTAATTTGTCATTTACAGGGATATACAGCTACTGAATCTGCAGTCATAACAAGTCCAAAGGGATATATAATGGTAGATTTAATAGACGTATTCAATAACCCCTTTGTATTTAAATTTACATCAAAGTTGAAGAGGAACACTAATTTAGATTAAAACGAGTTTACTAAAGCCGTAGAATGCTACTTTTGAACTGAATATTATGGGGAACAAATATTAGAAGTTAGGTTAGATAAATGTACAAACCTATGTACATTTTATGTTTTTTAATATTTATTTCTAATTAAAATAAAAAAAACCAACATTTGTTTACTAAGAATGTCTGTATGAAAAATTATTATTTTTAATTGCAATAATAAAAATATCATGATAGGTATATAAAATAAAACCAGTAAGACCTACAAATTAATCAGTCATTTGGGAAACAACATAAGTCACTGTTTTTGATAGAATGAGATTATGATGGATTTAGATTTGCTAAGAATAGATACATGTTCCATAAAGAAATGGCACAAGTCACTATAATTTATGTTAGGGTATTGTTAAAAGGGAACATAGTATTTTTTTTCTTTTGCTGTATTTGCTGTAAATCATGAAGTACCACAGGGTACTGTGCTTAATTCCATTACTTTTAATAATTTATGTTAATGGTTTACTTAATATTAATATCAATGCTGAAATAGTATGTTATGCTGATGATACAATAATACTTCTTCAAGATAAAAATATTGTAATTTAAGTTAAGTTAAGTAAAGTTAACTCATGGTTTGACAACTATTTACTTGCATCAAACTTAAACAAAACCAAGCATTTGATTTTTAGGATACATGATGTTAATATTGATAGCAATTTAAGACTTATTAACCATTCATTATTATTTTTAGAGGCTAATAAGTTAAATTTCTCGTGTGCTGTCATTAAAAGCACAAATTATATAAAGTGTTTAGGGTTATATATTGATTCTTATTTTTTAAAATAAAATTATCATATAGAATATTTAGTGTGTCTTATTATCAAATTCTTTTATGTTTTTGGAAATCTGATAGATATCCTGGATAAAATATATTTAAGAACTATACATATTTCACTTGTATAATCAATCAGTATTAAGATTTGGGGATGCACTTATGTTACCATAATTAAAACAACACTCAACAAATAAATTAAATTTATTTTAAAGTTCCTTGTTACCTTGCAAAAAATAGGGTTTTCATTTATAATAATCTAAATGTATTTAACTTTGATAAATTATTTACAAAGGGTTTGCTATTACTTTTATATAAACATAAACAATTTAATAAAACAATAAAGTAAAACAAAATTACTAAAAAAAAAGTTTATTTCTTTTTGTCGTTATAATTTTAATACTAGATTTAAGATTAATGTTAAGTTCATTAAATACTGCTTTTAAGTTATTTGTATTTTTAATATTAAATGTTAATATTTTTAGAAATTATAGCCATTTTAAAAATTGTATTTTAAAAATAATATAAATTTCTTTTGCTTGATTTTATTATTTTTTATTATGTTTTTGTAATGCTGCTTATTGTATAATATATTGGCAATGCCCTTTTTTTTATATGTAATTTTAAGTTTTTAGTGCTTTAAGTGATATTTTACTTATTCAAATTTTCTCCAGTACTTTAATGTAATACCTAGTACAAAATTATTATTATGAACTACACCCCCAACTCAAGCCCAGCTTATAGGAAATGTGCATCTACACAATTTTTTATGTTAACTACAATTAATTATTTAAATAATGTCATGCAAATAAACAAAAAAAAATAATTCTTAAAAAAAAAAAATCTTTTTAAAAATAAAATTAAAAAAATTAAAAATAATTAATTAGGAAAACAAGCAATTTTGTTGTTTGTGAATGGGTTAATACATATAAAAAACAGTTTACAATTTGAAAAAGAAATATAACAATTTTGCACTATTATTGTGGATGAGTTAATATTTTAATCAATTTTTATTAATTTCTTCTAAAAAAAATATTAAATAGGTATTATATATTTTCTTTATAAATTTAGTTTAATTTAATTTAGTTTATCGTACTGATTTTCCCATTTTTTCTATGTTTTTACAGGTTTTTTAATGTTTTCCCGGTTTTTCACATTTGCTGGGAAAGCTCTTGGTAAAATCGAAAAATGACTTTCTTAAAGGATCTTCCCAGTACGATTTCCTTCAAAAAAGTGCTACACTTAAAAATCGGAGTTTACAGCTTATCATACTATCATTTGACAATGAGGACCGACTGCCCACTGGTAATAGTTGTATTAAGATAAGTTTTTAAATCTAGTACAAAAATATGTGTTTTGATTAATGAATCCAAAACATTAAGCACATTATCTACAATAGTAGTGTATATTAAGACATCAATATCATCAGAAGACCCAATTTCCTTGTTGAGCTACATCTACAATCAGCAGACAATATTATTAATCAGCTCATTAATTACTTACACAATTTGGATTTGATGATATTTTTTAAAAAAAATAATTGGATTTCTTTTGCTAGTGATGGTGCAAGTGTTCTTGTTCTTAAAAAAATAGGAGTTGTCAAACAAATGAAGGATAAATATTCTTTGATTTTCAGTTTGAACCACAAACTGGAATTAGCAGTGAATGACACTATGAAGCACTTAAATGTCATAAACCATTTTAAATCATTTATTTGCTCATATGTTTTATACAAAAATTCATCAAAAAACAAAAATTAAATTAAACACATTTGCAGTAAGTTGGACATTATTATTATTTAAAATTGGAAGGATTTGCAGCCAGTTATAGATAATTTAATGTAATACGTAATACGTATACGTAATTATATAACCTATAAGCAACAATAAACCATTGCTTACAAAAAACGATTCTGAGTACAGTTCAGTTGATAGTGTTGCTTTGTCAACAATATATATGATGTCATATTATGATAAAATAATTAAATAGACATTATATATTTTATTTAATAATACTTTTTTAATATTGTATCAATTATGAATTATACTATAAGATTTTTACAGCTTTAGATTCTGAGTGGAGCAAAGAATGTATTGGTTTTACAACAATGTTTATTTATACATTTTTTTCTGTGGACATCTTTCCTACCAGCAACTTTGCTCAGATTTACAATAATAACACTTTTTCTAAAAGGAAATCTGACTGGGGAGGTACTTTAAGGAGGTAATTTTTTGATTTTCCCAATAAATTGTAAAACCCGAGAAAAATATGGGAAAACCGATAAAAAAAGGTATGATATTAAACAAATAGTATTAAAGAAAATATATAGGTTATATATGTTTAGTTATTTTACCATAATATGATATATATATATAAATATATATATTGTTGAAAAAGCCTACACTATCAATCGAACTCCACTCAGAACCGTTTTTTCATTACCAATGGTTTATCGTGCCTTACAAATATACATTGAATTTTCCCTCTACTACTTTCCCAACTTCTCGTCCATAATAGTGACTGATAATGGGGACGGGCCCCATTATCCTAGGATAGCTTTTTTTTTTTTATGGTTTTTACTCAATGCTTAGGTATACTCTTATTGAGACATTCAAGAACCAGGTTCAGTGGTGTAAAGAGAAAAACAAATTTATTAATTGATAGCTATACATATACTACAATATGAAAATCTTAAAATATTTTACTGTTAATTTATAATAGACGTATATTTCTTGTTTTACTGCTAATTGATTCAAACGCAATGGGGGGGAGGTTTAAATACCCAAAAACTTGTTCATCTAGGTACTTGAACTTTCAGAAAAAGTGCTTCACTTTTATATCGGATCAAGTTTACTAAGAATAAGCGTATCCACATACTAGAAAAAAAATAAACAGCATTTTAAAACCAATAGCTCCCTACTTTGGGAACTTAAAAGTGAACAATTCTAAATTAGATCACAAGGCAATCCGTGTGTTTCTCGACAAGCAAGATTATCAATCTGATGAACAATTCGATGGATTTTGATGTTCCTCATCAAGTTTGATTAATCTGATTACTAATCAGATAACTTTTCGATGCATCGGATCATCAATCAACAAAATAATCGGTTTACTGGAAATGTGTTATAAAAATTATGTGGTTTTATCAACATTTAGCCATAACGTTTTTTTTCATTTTAATATGTTCATTAAATTGAATACTAATATTATATTTATTTAATATTTACATTATAATCTAATTTAATATAATAATATAATACATTTATATATTATCAGGTTAACATCTATTATCAAATAATTGTTTATATCACGTGATACAGCGTTCTGCGTTTTAATATAAATCGGTGTTTCTTAACATTCAATCAGATGAACAATTGAACGTTTCATTTGATTGATAATTGAGGTTATCGAAGCAAAAAAAAAATAACAGTTAGTTTCCTAACCTAACCTAACATTAATCAAATAACTTTAATGTATCACACATTCATATCCGATGAATAATTTCTTTTTATAGCCGTGTTAATTAGGCGTGTAAGTATTCAATAAAATAACACGTTATACGATAAGGAATTACAATCAACACGGTAATTCTTTCCTTTCTATTAAATATTAATTGTTTTCACGCCTATTTTTTAGAAATTAAAACTGCTATAATTAAGAAACTATTAATCGAATATGAATATATGTTACATTAAATATTTTAGAATGATATTTTTTACCAAATGGTTATTTTGACTTTGAAAATTTTCTAAAATGTATAAATAGTCATTTATTTTTGTGTTTAGGGCATGAAAATAAAAATTTAATTTTTTATCAAATTGATGTCCTTCTCAAAGACAAACCAATTGAAAAATATTTAATATTAATAGCTTTAGAAAAATTCGTCAAATACTTTGGGACACACTGTATATATATACGTACATTATGGTAGGCTTTTTTTTTTGAACTTCAATAATTTTGTGTCGTGGGTCCGATATAGACAAAACCGAAAAATGAAATTGCTTCAACACAACAGTCTACAGCAGATTGTCCAACGAGATTCAACGAATGTGTAATACACGGAATANTTTTTCTATGCCTAGTTAATTTATAGTCTTCATTCTTAGCTCTTTTCATACCATTACTTTCATATTCATCATATTGATTTCTTATATTTTGAAGGACAATTTTAAGACTTTCAATGAAGTCAATTGCAGTATATAAATCAATTATACCACTCTGAATGCTTTTACTACACTTATTAAAGGGTTCGAGAATATTATGCCATAATTCACACATAATGCCAGTTTCTAAATGACCGAGTATTGAGCTTAAACAAGAAGCTTGGTGTCGAGTTGGTTGTTTTTGTAATGTATCATTTTGAATTTTTCTTAACGCTTCATTAATATTCTCGTAACTTAAAAATAACGCTTTAACGGCCTCAGAATTTGCACTCCATCTAGTAACTGATTTGGATTTAGGAACCGGACAGTTTTTTACTAATGTTTTTTTTAAAATATCCCAGCGTTGGGTNTCCTTCTATGTCTTAAATTTTCATGTCCATTTTAATGTCTGATAATTCATTAATATCTGATATTAAAATCTGATATCTTCATTAATATTCTCGTAACTTAAAAATAACGCTTTAACGGCCTCAGCATTTGCACTCCATCTAGTAACTGATTTGGATTTAGGAACTGGACAGTTTTTTACTAATGTTTTTTTTAAAATATCCCAGCGTTGGGTAGAGGCAGTAAAAAAATTGTAAACTTCTTGGACAAAACCGAAAAATGAAACTGCTTCAACACAACAGTCTACAGCAGATTGTCCAACGAGATTCAACGAATGTGCAATACATGGAATAAAATCAATCAATGAATTGCACTTTTTTATTTCTGTTTGCATACCAGTATAAGTCCCACTCATGTTGCTAGCGTTGTCATAGCTCTGCCCACGACAATTTTCTATGTTAATATCATTTTCTTTCAAAAAGTTAAGTAAACACAAAGCAAGATTTGCACCAGTATGACTTGTAATATGAATAAAAGTAATGAAACGTTCTACTGGTCCTTCATTATTTACGTATCTCAAAATAATAGTTAGTTGATCCATATGGGTTATATCAGGAGTAGAATCAACGCTTATTGAAAAATAACCGGCTTTTTTTAATTGATCTATAATCATTGTACGAGTTTTGTTTGCAATAAGTGCAATAAATTCGTTACAAATAGTTTTGGACAAATAAGATGTGTGTCCTTTCCCTTGATTTCCGTGTACAGCGATATGTTGGGCTAAAAATGGNCATTATGATTTGACCCGAAGTGTTCGTCCGAACCTCGAAATGGTAAACCACGTCCCGATAAAAATAATATTGTTTCAATTATGCGTCTTAACACGTTTTTCCAATAGCCACGTGTTTCGGTTAACTGTTTTTCTAATTCACTATCTATTCTACCCGATAGTTTCGTTCTATTTAGGTACATACTAATTGCCAAGACATGATATCCTTTTTTCGCATGGTTTTCAAAAATTTTTTGAACATTTCGCCAATCATTATACCCATCACACATTATGTTATTTTTAGAAAAGAGAATACAATGATAACAATAAACCATTTTTTTAGTCGGCGAATAAAGTAACCATTCTCTATTACAACAATCACCATTCGGCTTTGTATAGAAAAATGCAGTTTTGTTCAAACAACGATGTACCTTAGGATTTTCATAATATTTTTTTGTTAAGGAAAAGTCAGCATTTATATTTTGAAAGAATTTCGGCCCTTTTTCTACTAAGTAAGATATTAAATTATGGGATGTTAAATTCCAATCTCCGGGATCATTAGAATACTCAATTACGTCATTATTTTTAGAAGAAGCACCAGTGAACGAATTTGATAAACTTGGGACATTATGTGAGTCCGATGTACTCGTATTTATAATATTATCTTCTTTATTAATGGTATTTTCACTGTTAGTATATTTAGGTATAAAATACGATGTAAGAGGATTTACTTTTTTTAGAAAGTCTGCTTCATTCTTCTTTTTCTTTTGAGTTTCTTTTAACTTTTCCCAACCTCCTTTTGGTTTTGACATTTTTCTCGGTTGTTCAAAAAAATATATTTACATGAAACCACACTATAAAAACTTTTTAAATACTAAAACACAACTACACAAGACGTGTTCTATAGATAAACGAACATTTCATCATTCACTATAAATATTTATTAAATGACTGTGATTCTCGCCGTCGTCAAATGATCGTTCGGATGACAAGTACAAAGATATCATGTTATAGTAATATAATGTACGGTATACAGATAAGAAAGTCCGAACATTTTTATTATTATTTAATTATTAGTAATTCCTATTTTTATATGAGTTATTGACGTCCCATAGCTGATGGCACTGCGTTTCATTATCTGCGGGGTTTTCCACCGAAACACGTGTTTCTCCGAAACGGCTCGACCGATTTTAATGAATATTTTTCGTATAATTGTTGTAAGAAGATAATGAGAACTAACGTTCGGATTTATTTGATAATTTATTTTATATTGGAAAACAACGTTTGCCAGGTGGGCTAGTAATATAATTAATTTTTAAAAACTAGACATTTTACGGGCCGAATTTTTTCAATGGCCGTAAGCAATGCTTATTTTGCTTGTAGGTAAATCCGGCCCTGATTGAAGTTAGTAAAAAAAGGTATGTAAGTTCAAAATTCAAAAAAAATTACGTAAAAACTACCTCTTCCTAACTTCAACTCCTTTGAGACATGTGAAGGGGTTGATTTATCATACTCAAAATTTATTTTTACAATGCATATAACAGAATTCCATGTCCGTGATTTCAAATATTTGAAATTTATTTTTAATACCTATAGGTATATATTGTGTATAGGTTTATATTTTATGTATATTATATTATATAGCTACAGCGGACCTATATACGGGGTGATTTTTCATCTTGAATTTTCTCGGAGGATTTTAAGTAAATTTGACTGTGGAATCGTTTAAGAATTTTTTTAAAACTAATTTTAAATTTTACCGCCCCTTTTTGAATACGGATTGGGATAACGAGTATTTTTCTAGAAATGTTGATATGCAAAACACTAATATCAGATTTACCGTTTATGAGTATTTCATATCTATTTTTAAATGATAAATTGATAATTTTTCTCTACTCCTCTGGTCTAAATTTTTAAACGGTTATAAGATTTACCGCTTATAAACGATAAATCTGATATTATAGTGTTACTAATGTACTAATAATATCTTATTAACTCACATAGTTTATATCTTACAACATTTTGATATAGTATGCATATCAAAATTTCTAGAATAATATTCTCTATTCGAATTTATTAGTTTCTGTTTGGAAAACTAAAGTATTTGCTTATGTAAGGTATATGAATTAGGAGTAAAAAATTTAAAATGATTTTAAATAAATCTTAAACGATTCCATAATGATTATAAAAAAAAATCAAATTCACTTAAAGTCCTCCGAAAAAGTTGCTAGTTCATAATAAAAAAAAATCACCCTATATGATTATTTTTATATTATATAAATTATAGGTACGAGTCACGTTGTGTATTTTTCTCGGAAAACGACGTTTGAACGTTCTCATAGCTGACAAAGCAAAAACCCATTTATATATATTTTTATACGTATATAAAATATTGGTCGTTAGTATCCGACGACCCACAGTTATGGGGTGCGTTCGGTCGTCCAGCAGGTGGTACGCACAACAGAAATATACAATAAGTCGCGCCGTCGCCTTTTATTTGTCTCCGATCCCTCGATAATACCTCGAAATCGTTTTAGTATATTATATACCAAACCGCACGAGGGGGCGTGAAAAGAAAATACCATAAACTGCCTTTTATATTATTATGTACGCAATTTTTGACCGAATGTTATGGGGACGACCGTGTAATAATTTATGATCGAACCTATACGTCGAACAGCACACAATATGCTTTCTTCTTCTCCTTTGTATTCAATACTAAGTTGGTTTGTAAGAACTCGCTATTCTTCCCTACTTGCCTTTATCTTTTTTTTCTATAAGAATTATACTCTTGGTCTTGGACATGTGCCTAAATAATAATAATGTTATAGACACAGTTAGATCTCGATCGTTCAATATTATAATAATATATTATTGGACACAGGTATGTGCATAGGAGCTACTATACCCTCTTGACAGGGGGGAAAATATAATATTTTAAGTAAATTATCAACACTATTTTGTCCACATTTTTAGGCTGGTTACATAATTAAAAACAATGTTTTCTTTTTTTAACTAAATTAGTGTATTTTGTTACTTCTAAGAATTTAAATTATTTTAAATAATTACAGGAATTTTTATTACTATTATTTTAGGTATTATGGATAATAGGGTGATCAAATTAAAATTAACTAATATAATTTATTAATACGTAACTGCACTGTCATTAGTAAATGGTAGCTGAGAAATTAATTATATCGATAATTGTCACTTTTTTTAATTTAAGACACTCATTATCTTGGAAAGTATTCATTTTTTTCGGAATTTGTTTTACAGAATGCTTTTGAAATTAGTACAATTTTTACTTTCTTTTTGTTTGACTTTATTATTTTTCTTTTATAGTTAATTTCATCACACATATTATACAAGTTTAGTAGTGTAGTATTATAGATGGTCACTAACTATAATACCCATCGTTCCTTATATAAGTACCTAATTTATTATTTTATAAATAAATAAACTATAATTCGTATGGCTATAACTTATAATAATGTAAAACAGAGAAGAGTTCAGACCAAATATTCTTGATTCCTCAGTAGTGTGAAGAAGGGGTGGGCGCCAGTGTGATTAAGCCTATGGATGCCAGAACGCGAAATCCGACACTACTCTCCTTTAAAATTACTGTAATTCCACATGGAATTCAGGTTTATACAAACAGGCATATTATGTTTTATGTTTCAGTTATACAAAAACCAAAAATCATCCGTTGTTTATGTAGAAAATTCGAAAAAGTTATTTCCAACAATAACCGTAACACGAATCTATTGGTTTTGCAACGATGTTTATTTTTGTATTTTTTATTTTATACTGTGACAAAAATTGCTACCAGAAATCTTGCTCTGATATGTAAGTGTGGCACCTTTTCTATAAAGAAATTTTGTTTATATTGTACTTTAAAGAGGTAATTTTTTGATTTTCCAAGCGGTTTTCATAATATCTGAAAAAACTTGGGATAAAAAATGTAAGATAAACGGAAACATTTACAAACATATTGATTTTATTTTCAATATTGTTTTTTTTTTTTTTGTATTTCAGTTAAAATATGTGAAGATACTTGAAATTCGGATAAGAAACTTATATTTCCCTTTTATAGACGTAGTAAAATTGACAACAAATTTAATCAATTTTGAGCTATTTATCGACATTTTAATTTTAGGAATTTTGTACGTAATTTTTATTTGGTAGGTACTCTGCGGATAAAATTATTATTCAACAAAATTCAACAAAAGGTTCATTAACAGTTTTACATTTTAGTGAATTCGAGCTTTATGTACTTAGTATTTTTTTTTTTTTTGTAAAGGAATTTTAATATCAAATTTTGACCAAAATCGTTTGAGTAAAAATTATGTCGAACAAATCTAATTGGACACAAGTTCATGGTAATTTTTCATTTTGTTTTTTTGTTTTTTTAATAGTCTGTTACACCGACTATAGACGCGCCTAAATATTCATTCAATGTTTTTATTCAATTTAATTTTCTTTGGTCAGCAGTCGGCACCAGCAGCACCGCCTGAATTATTTCCCTTCTACAGTACCACTATCACATCTATAGTGCTTGCTCATATTGATACTAATATGCAATCATTATAATATTATAATAATAGCAGTCGCCGCTGGTACTGTAGACGGCCGCCCAGATAATCCCCTCTACGCCACCTCCTCAATAGTTTCTACTAGTGTATGACTTATCCGTGTCGTGCTCGTTGCCTCCGACGAAAAATTTAAAATGCCTATCAATAGCTTATTCATCGGTTTAATGTTTTGGAAATTTTATTATATCGATGAAAGTCTAATACAAGACGTATTCAGTGAATATTTCAGATCTGTACAATTATTATTTTTAACAAAATTGCGACAGAAATCGAAAATAATAAAACCGTACGTTTTCTCGTTTTATTCCTCGGATTCTCAGAATTATTATGAAAACCACTTGGGAAATAAAACAATTACCTCAATGTACGCTATTGGATATAAAATTCAACAAAAAAGGTATTTTGCTATTTTTGGCTATAGCAAGATTTCATGTAGAAAAGTTATTAGAAACTAAATAAATATATAATTGTACACATTATTATAGTGTTCTTATTCTCGTGTCAGTCAGTTTTTCTTAATATTGTAAGGCTCGGAAGTTATAGGAGTTGCATATTTTTCTGTATGCACCGGATTTATTGCAGACCAAGTTAGAAATTATTTTTATACTTAATTATTTTATTTATTCTTTTTATAGATTTTAAAAATCGAACATTTGAAATACATATTTTACATATTTCGTTAATTAAAGAGAGGAAGTGCATAATTTGTATGCATATAAAGCATATTTAATAGTTCTTAAAATAAATTGCTCATTTTTCTTTCTTCACCAATGTATTTTAAATAATATTAAATATAAAACTCAATATTATTCAGCATAGTTTTTTTTATTGTTTTTTCTTATCGTTTCAGTCTAATATTAATTTAACGATAACGGTTCGATTGCATTTAATCTTTGTCTGCATATTAATAATGGCATTATATACATTTGAATAATAGACTGAAACATTTTTTCATGCATATTTTGCCTTTTTTACCTCCTATAATATCTGGGCACTACTTATTAGTTTACAACCTTCACTGTTATAGTTATCAACTCACAGATATCAATGGGAATGACAAATACATGTTTATTGTCATTTATTTATTATTTTATACACATTTTTTTATTTATATTTTGATTATGATGATTGATAATGAGCATGAAGCGTGAAGACACGAGTAACCATAGTTGACTGTCTAATATGCGGAGTGAGTGGTGTGACTAATAATATCATAAATG